TTAACTCGTGAAAATACTTGCAAAAAAGACATCTCAGAGTAAAAAAAAATATATTACCTGGAAAAAAAATACGATTAGATTCTTAACAGTTATATTACTTACGATTTTAAGGTTATTAAACACCGTAGATATGTTGAAAGGTTTACTTCTACCTTCAGTACTTAATAAGACACTCACTCATTTTGAAGGTTAAAGAATATTAAAAAAAAGAGCAAATGACGATAAATTAGTTTCATAATAATCAGTTTCACACGTTAGTCTTCAGTCATGTTAATAACCCTTATGGGAATATTTAACTTTATAACTAACAATTTTAACCTATCATGCTTTTTGTACCGTCTTTATCACATGCACCTCTTGTAGAACCAACTGATAGAATTTTATGATTAGAATAAATGAGAATTACACCCCTAAGAGCTTTGATATGTTAGAGATTACTGATATAAATAGGCTGTATCGACGTAGTTACACACACATCCTCTAACACTTGATGCCTTAATGAAAAAAAGGAGATTTATTTATCAGGTTTTATTTTCCCTTGTGGTATGATGATCTCACGGCGGTGCTTGGGTAGTACATCAACCTACCAGTGTTGTCGTATATGTATAGCCAGATTATAATATAGTGTTTATTTGTTTTTGTGGAATAAATTAATAATGGAATTTGAGTAATGTTTTTTTTTTTTTGTAGATAGATAATATATGATTTGAGTTTATTATATTTTATACAGTTAAAAGTAAAGTAGTTGTAGTTTAGGTGTAAAATAAATTAATAAAATTGCCTCATTCTCCCATACTTGAAAGTCTACAGCTAAGTGTCCCATTACATCTCTCTTGTAATTCATTTATCGAGGCTGAAATCTAAATACTCAGCCTCAACGGATAATTTATTTTTTATTTTTCATATTAATTTAATCAAGTACGTAAAGTAATAATAAGTGTTACATCATTCAAAATTGACACTGGTGAGCTGAAGGTTGTGGGATGTTTGATAACTACCCGGGTGATCGTGTGGTGATCATTATACCACTAAGATAACTTTATATACGGTGGATAACAGTCTACAGTGGAGAATGTATTTAATAGTATATACAGGTGCAGTGTCAATAAATTTCATGTACAAAAAAATAATATTTTTTCTTTTATAATCCTCTTGACAGCTTTGGCTCAATGAGTGAGACTATTGTTTGTGAAGTAGTAAACACAAGATGTAAACAAACAAAAGCATAAACAAAAGCCAGGATTAGAAACAATAGCGCATGGTGTTGCGCTCCATAACAAGGCCACAAGTTAAATGACCATAATGGAATTGAGTCTACCACTGGACACCAAGTTAGTGTTTTCATAAGCCACAACAACGCGTTCAGGTTTCGCACAAGGAAGCAGAACTGTACTACAAGACGTTGACAAGTTTCCCTAAGACCGGGAGGAAATATGAAAAGAGTTTCCAGGTTGTAATGTTGGAAAATTTACCCGCCAGAGAACACAAGGTAACTCACTATTAAGTCATGTAGCTGTTCAGTCCATTAGATGAGTTATTGTTGAAGCAATTTTTGTCTTACTACTGTCTCACAGCATACTCTTGTAGGCTGTTCCAAGAAATCACTACATGTCATCAAAGAAACTACCTTTGATAGTAGATTCCTGTACCGATAGCTTCTTTATTGTTGTGACCTTAATTAACTCCCGTGACCTTAATTAACTCCTGTGACCTCAATTAACTCCTGTGACCTCAATTAGCTCCTGTGACCTCAATTAACTCCAGATATCTCCTCTATATTTAACTTAGGTCATACCCCTTTAGGTGCTTATCTACGATTGAATCCCAACTGCTGGTGACTTTGAAGTGTTCTAGCTCTTGTTCACACACCGTCTTCACTAGGTTCTGCATAAGTGGTGACATATAGTGGTTAGTGACTCTCCTCCCCTGTGGTAAGAGGTCCCTGATAGTGGGACAGTCAAGGCAATAGTGTTGAAGAGTGTTAGATTGTATGGAGAAGAGTGACTCAACGTATTCAGTGTATAGATAGATAGATAGATAGATAGATAAATTAACTTGATTTGATAAGTGAAGATCATGTACCTTGAAAAGTTCGTCATTAATGTAGATATTTTTTGGTTAATATTATCACTGTGTCGCATCATAAACAAGCAGAACGATCAGTACTTAACCCCAACACGTTGTTTCTAAGCCTCGCCCACCCATGACGTCCTGTTCAAGGCCTCAAGAAACACCAAGGATTCAAATATGAAAGATGCACCGAATCAGGAGTGGAAAGGTTAGGTGAAACCAGAGAAAAAAAAAATGGAGAAATGCATATTCTATTTGGTTTGTGTTGTAAATAAAGGGAAATACTGTATAGCCATCCCGTTTAGATTGTTGGGAAAGAAACATACAGTACCAATAAAACATTAGCATCCCAACTTGGAAAACAATGTGATCTAAACCAACAACCCTGAATGCAGCCACTGTATCACATAGGTATAAGTGCAAGCAACTGTACATCAGTCATAAAATCAATTAAATTCATACCTGGATGTGGTACACTTTTCGTATTTTGGTTCAGCTTACCTGGGCTTTCATGTAGTGTATTGTACTAATCAATCCTACTGTACTTACCTCATTAGTTTCCTGTGACCTAATAATTTATTTGACTGATTTACCTTCTTCTCGCAATGGCCCGAGAACTTCAGCTCATTGTCAACATACACACCTAGGTGCTTCTCACATTCAGTCTCAAATAGTGCAGTTTTTCCATCCCGTTGGGACATATGATACGCCTCCTTACCGTTGGTACCCCCCAGGTGCATCCTCTTACACTTCGTGACATTGAATCTCAGCAGCCATTTCTTCGACCATTCTTGGAGCTCACAGAGATCCTTCTGCAGCTCTTCACAGTCCGATTGGTTCTTGTTTTCCCGAAATAACTTGGCGTCATCCGCGAACATTTGCATGGAGGAGTGTACAACGTCAGGCAAGTCATTTATGAAACAAACAAACAACAACGGGCCCAATACACTGCCCTGTGGTATCCCGATGGGACGTGGTTGTAATATCGACAATATTTACCTAGATTTTGCCAAGGCTTTCGACAGTGTACCCCACGAAAGGCTGAAAATCAAACTGGTAGGGTACGGAATTCGCGGAAATGACCTAGCGTGGATAGAAGACTTTCTACATGACCGCAAGCAGTGTGTGGTGATTAAAGGCGCGAAATCATCATCCGTACCTGTCACAAGCGGGTTACTACAAGATAAACCAAGATGTCCTTTAAAAAGCCTTTTATCATCACTTGTATTAACAGTAAATGTGTGTAAACGAGTTATATGGGAGGTGTAGTACATTAGGATAGTTTACCCTCTCACAACAGCTACAGTTTTCTTTGGTTTCATGTTTATAAAGTCTACGGGAATTTAGATCCTCGATTCAGATACTGTCGGGTGAATATCGTAAAATTGACCTTAATCCTTAACCTTTGACTTTTATGGTAAATTCCTTTGACAGTTGATACAATGAGCTCTGAGAACCTTTAATATATTATTGTACAGATAATGGCATGAATAAGAGATCCTCGTGACTGGAAATTTCCTCTTCGTCACTGATCGGTCTGTTAGCCGCGTAGGCGGTCTGTCATGTCTGTTACACACTGTTGGGAAGTACTAGGCATGTACTGGCTCCAGAATGTATCTGAACCTGCTCCAGTGTTGGTCAAGTCTGGTCTCCAATGAGCTCTCACACGGTGCCGTCACAACACTCCCTTACAGGTTATTACAACAGTTCACAACTCTCACTCCGAAAAAGATTGTCTTAACAGGTTGTTAACTTGTGACTTCTTCAGCCTTGAACTGGGATCCCTAGCTGAGCGGGCGTCCTCCAGCTCCAGGTATAACTCTCGACTGAGTACTGCCCTCTAAGGTATTTACAAACTTATTTAAGTCACCCCTTGTCCACAGAGAGACGCGCGTTACCCCTGCACCACCATCACTGTACTTACTTTCCTTATAGTCTTCTAAATATTAAATAGTCTCTTTTATTCACACTTTATTTTACTAATTAAAGGGATATCTGTAATTAGAATACGTATAAAGGATCGCTGAATTTACACTGATTACGATGCATGAGTAGAAGTCTATTTTTGTATTTCGCGGTTCATTCTGAAACAGTTAAAAGCCTCATCGATAGAGCCTAAAATACCAAGATAATAAGATGGACAAAATGTATGTAGAAATCGTTATTCTTAAATAAGTACTGAATAATAAAAACAAAGGCAACAACAATACATCCGGGAAAATGTTCAATATTTTGCTCTATTTTCCTTGTGTAGTCACCACAATAATCTCTGACACGTTGTTGTACATCTACTTGTCATAACTGTGAGACGAAGGAAGCGTTATATATATACAGTATATATTACTTTAACTGAAAACATTGCGATTATAGTGTATAGCTTACAAATTCAGTTAAAAACGTAATATCCAAGAACCAGTGGTGAAACAGAAAAATAACCCACCAATTAAAACCTCCATTGGGTTGGATTTAAAGTGCTTTTTGTTTATAAACAAATGTGTAGTGTTCACGTGTTTCATAATTCGTATTTGCTGTGAAAAATAAATATGTCATTCATATACTAGATATGAAATAATTTCTAAAACATTAAAATATAGCATAAGTGAGAAATACTGTAACTTCTTAAAACTAATCTAATGTAGTTTTTACGAGGAAATAATATCACATGTCGTAATTTATACTTCACAACTACACTCAAGACTCTAAGCAATAATATATAAGTAGCCTTTAACATCACATATCTATAATTGACAAATATTAATTACAAGCGATGAGTTTAAAGTCATCATAACAGGAAATAGTCATTTAAATACCACATTCCCCGCGGGCTATAGATGACTGACTCTGACACGTCACGAGAAGAATCCAACTCTCTCAGGTGACTGGTGGCCACAACACAGAGGTTCAAGTAGTGTCTCAGTACTATTGGAAACCTTCATTCTTCTTTCATCTTTTTTTTATCATTTGTAAACACTCCAGGCCATCATGTCGGGAGCCCCAGGTGACGTGGAAATAGATATATCAGGGGATATTGACGTTACTAGCAAATTAAAAGAATCTCCTAAGTCAGGGTAAGGTTTATTGAATGGATGTTGTAAGTCTTTTATCTTATGTTATGTTATCTTGGTCGGAAATAACGTGAATTATGTAGAATGGTTATGTATTAGTGCACTCGTCATTTGCTCTGCTCCCAAGTATATTTTTGACAGATCTAACAAAACACTATAACAATTTTTTAGAAATGTACCCTAAGAGAATTTAATCAGAATTGTTTTAAGAGCTGGAAGATATTGCCATTAAAATTCAGGAAGATATATAGTGGTTGGCCTTTAAACCCTATACCAATGACCCATCAGTACTTTGGCTATTTAAATTAAAAGATACATTATTTTGCTCTATCAGATTTTAATTAGAATGGACTACTGAGTAATATGTATACTTAATCCTCCAACACTAAGGGCTGTATCACATACGTATATTCTCATACAATATTACTGTGTACCATTGTGGATAAAGGTATGGCAGCCGTACGCCAAAAATCACACTTCATATAGATAGATACGACAGCCGTATTGATGGACTGTGTTGTTAATGGTTAGGTTAGGTTATTGTTTCAGTTACTTGAATACTCTAAAAATAATCCTTGTTTTCATTTCCCCATACTAAATTGATTAATGTAATCTTTCCTAAACAATGTTCTCTCAATAAGGTTCATATATGCTCCTCATTTTCACTTCTCTTTTGTGTATTTTAAACGTTTATAAATACATAGTGATCTGCTCTATGTTCACTCAATCTGTATTACTAGTTTCAAGGAAATCATTCATTACCTATCCAAATATCCACATTACTCTTTGGTTCTTCCATCATCCACTTGTTCACATGCCTTGTCCCTTAACCCCTTGAGTACAATGATTTATCCTTTGATTATGATGAGTTACCCCCTTGAGTATGATAACTTACCCCCTTGATTACGGTCCGACTAATTACCCAAATGTACCCAAATATAGCCGGAATGAAGTCAAATAATGGTCCTACATGAATAAATCGGACTGCTAATCACTTCTCGACTAGTATTTGGTGTCAGAAAGTCACAAAAAATTGGAAAACTTACTTTAATCTGAGTTAATAGATCGCGTGCATGTACCAACAGAGCAAGGAATTACCCAAATGTACCCAAATGTAGCCGCAATGAATTCAAATGATGGTCGTACAAGCGTAATTCGGGCTGTGAATCACTTCTCGATTATTATTTGGTGTCATAAAGTAAAAAAAAAATTGGTAAACTTAATTTAATCTGAGTTGTGTTGGGTTAGGTTAGATTAGATTAGATTAGATTAGATTAGATTAGATTAGATTAGATTAGATTAGGTTAGGTTAGGTTAGGTACATGCACTTGTTCTATTAACTCAGATTATATTAACTTTACCAACTTTTTGTGACTTCGTGACACCAAATACTAGTCGAGGTTAGGTTAGGTACATGCACTTGTTCTATTAACTCAGATTAAATTAAGTTTACCAATTTTTTGTGACTTTGTGACACCAAATACTAGTCGAGAAGTGATTGGCAGTCCGATTTATTCATCTAGGACCATTATTTGACTTCATTGCGACTACATTTGGGTAATTCCTCGCTCCGTCGGTACATGCACGCGATCTATTAACTCAGATTAAAGTAAGTTTTCCATTTTTTTGTGACTTTGTGACACCAAATACTAGTCGAGAAGTGATTGGCAGTCTGATTTATTCATCTAGGACCATTATTTGACGTCATTCCGGCTATATTTGGGTACATTTGGGTAATTAGTCGGACCCCCTTGATTATGATAACTTATCCACTTGAGTATGATGACTTAACCCCCTTGAGTATGATGACTCTTAGCTGGGAGTAAATGTCAACTTAGTCATTATTCCAATGCTTCTGTAATAAAAAAATAGCCAAGTATTCTTTATCTATCATTCCTAACCTTCCTTCCCCAAGTCATCCATTTTTTCATGTGTCTCTGTATGTGCTGAGGAACACAAACATTCTTCTACATCATCATCATCATTATCAACATTATTTTACAGCTTGTCTTTTATTGTTTGTTTTTATATTCTTGAATGTCATCAGTGAAATCAAACATTCAGTCTTGTGATATTTTGTTAAACACTTAAACCTGGGTGTGTAAAGTTACTTGTAATGTACAGTGTTACTTTTAGGTATACAGGTATATATTTTTTGTATCTAGATTTAGAGACTAGTCTGTGTACATTGTGCCTTAAAAGTAGTGTAGAGATTTTCTGGAATAGTAGGGGAAGTTATGTGGCATTGACATAGAATCTATACTCCAAACACCTGTTGATTAGTGTATTCTGGGTTAAATGTCAGAGTTACCTAGTGGGAATATATTTGTTTTATTAGAATTTTGAAACCCTTTTGTTTGGATCCTGTATATTGATAATACTGTATTGTTTGTATTGTTTCTGTATTTTGTATAAACCATTGTAAATAATTTGTTTTAGTTGCATGTATGATGTTTTCCTAAAATAATCACTTGTTACCATCATTAACACCTGCCACCTCACCCCCACTCTGTTCTCTGTGGTGTTGGCTACAGTGAGACCACAGCTGTTTCAGAGGAGGTGATATCCAACCCATTTAGCATGGAAAATTCCTCCTTCCAAGAGCCGGGGGGTGTTAAGAAGTGAGTCATCTGTGGTGTGAAGACCATACAGTACAGTACATAGTATTGAATAGTTTATCTGTCTTGAGTTCGTACAAACCTCACACTTGTTCCTTTCCTGGTGGTAATTTGGAACATCATGTGTTTACTTATGCTGAAGCTTGCTGGAGTGGTTTTCAAAATTAGGTCATATGGATTCTCTAGCATGAGTGTGTGTGGATATTTACTGCACCTTTAATTTTGTTCATTATTATAACCTTTAATCCTATAACTGAGATGAGGTCTTTAATTTGACTTTGTTTTTGATTGCTCTTTCTGCTATAGGTATTAAGTGATTATGTACAGTATCAGTTAAAAAGAAATGGATCACCTGATGATTACTCTCACCCATGCATATTTCACCCTTTGATTAAACACCCTGACATTAATCTAACCTCCCAGGTGAAATAAACAAGGGGATAATTTTGAGATGATCTAGATAAATTTACTTGTGTTTATATCTTATCTATTTAATTATACAGTTCTTTCATGGTGTGGAGGTCAATTGATATTTTTTCATGGATGGACGATGCCTTACAGAGTGACTTGTTTGGTGGAGGTCTGGAAAAATCTTAATGAATTTTTAAATTGTTTGCTTGGAATTATGCTGCATAAATTTTTTTCACTGGTTCTTTATATAATGTGAGTTCATTTCCATAGCCTCTGTGATGTGACGAGGTTCTGTGTGTGTGTGTGTGTGTTGTATATGTGTGTGTCCTTTGTCTGTTGTGTGTGTGTGTGTCTGTCTGTCATTTGTGTTTATGATAATGCCTTTTCATCTTTTTTGTTTGTAGGAAAATGTTATTACTAGTTACATTCAAGCATAAAAATATATACAGGATATAGTATATGTATTTAGAAGTGCATATACAGGCATAATATATGTAAATGTGGGGAAAAAACAGACAGACAGACAAATAATGAATAGAGAAATGAGTTCATGAAGATAGAGATGATATACTGCTTAATACATAGAGATACATGAGGATTAAATATTATATAGTCAATGATTCTACGTTCTGGACCTTGGACACCTGTTGACTCACATGAAGCTGACTAACAGGTGTGCAGGTGTGTAAAACATCTGTGGTGGTGGTGGTGGTGGTGGTACCTTTGGAGGCAGTGTAAACGCAGGTGGCTTGGTGGGTGTGCTTGTCAGTTTCAGGCGAAGGTGTGGTGTTGGTGGTGAGCACTATTGTAATTGGTTCAGTGAGTGTGTTGTCAGGGCACTGTGAGGAAATAAAATATGTTTGTCTTTCAATATTTTGTATTGGTGTCTTAGATGAATGATACTAAATAAATCTAAATCGTATACAGTTTATTGATATGTATTCATTATATACAGTTTAAATATATATATATGTATATGTTTTTTATGTATGATATAGTGATTTTCATGTATAATTTGCTTAGATACTTAGGGAAAATTTATTTATAACTGCAGGTCTAGAGATTGGCCACCCTACTTAATCTATTCTTTGTCTTTACATCCAACAACAAAGGAAGTCTCTCAATAGACCTTTGTTAATACAGTATATTCATAAACTACAGTAGTATTATTCTCACCCACCGAGGAAGCTTTCTTTGTGCCCTGCTCTGCTCTGCTTCACGTCTTTAAGTAAAACCTAACAAAGGATTTTTTTAAGGTCTTACCATTGGCTATAACTCTTGAATTATAATTTAAATTTGGTATTATCTGTTTATTTACAATCTTTCCACACCATCAGAATGTTTTGTAAGATATAGTGTTCTTGATACAGATCCTGAATATTTTTTATGTATGCTTCAGTCACTTTTCTCCCTGCTTTATTTCTGGGCTTTTAATCTTTCCATGCAATTGTTTTTGTTTTATTTATTTGTCTCTTGAATTCCCGATACACTGTACTTGGATATTATACCACTATACTGTACTTCTGTTTTTATGTTATTCTAGTGTGTCATACAGAATATTAGTCTTTCAGATCACCCCAAAATTATTACTTGTTCTTGTTACTATGGAAGGTTTGTAAGTACACAGTACTATTTTTCTCTTGTGTTTCAGACTCCTGATGCAGCTTCCCGTACAACTGCAGCTGGCGTCCCCGGCAGCCAGGGAATGGATTACCCGTAGCCGTGAGAACGTTCGACCCTGGCTGCTCTTTGTCAACACTCAAAAGTTCAAAGTAAGTTTTCAAACATTTTATATTACTTGTATTTTTTTTTTTTTTTTTTTTAGTTAGGAAACAGTGTTATCACCTATGCCATTTGTCTACCTCATGAATTAGGTAGGAAGCACTATACAGTATAATGTGTAATTATAATATAATAAAGAATATATACATAAAATGATAAAAGTATTGAGAATATTTTAAGTGAATCTTTTCTCAAAAATATTAATCATGATTTAAAATTACTAAGACCCTCTGTTTCTTTTTCAGGTTCCACCAAATGTACAAAGATGGAGTAAGCGCCTGGCCAAGAATGTTGACTACTTCCAGTCCAATTACATGTTTGTCTTCATTGGCCTTATCATATACTGCTTGTAAGTCTTTAGAACAAACTGTGTCTTAATGGTGAGAGCAAAAGATATACAGTACAGTAATTGTACATTTTAAGAAAGGGTTTATTTCCTCTTTCTGGACTAGAGTTTTTAATACTGTAGTTTGTTTTATCCTTTAAACCAACTCTAACCTGTACTGGGAATGTTTAATGATGAGTATATGATAATTTCTCAAACATTGTGTACCTGATTTCAGACTAACACTACATATCACTATTATATTTTTATTATTTATTTCTAGTTCATAATTTCATAACACGATTAAATATATATATTTTTTTCAGGATAACCTCCCCGCTGTTGCTCATAGCTGTGGCTGCATCTCTGGGTGCTTGCTACATCATCTCCCTGAAGAATGCTGAGAAGAAAATCAACATTGGAGGCCACGAGGTGTCCCTTGCCCATCAGTACGCTGCCATCGGTATCTTTTCCCTGCCTGTTTTTTACTTGGCGGGGGCGGGAGCTGTCCTGTTTTGGGTCTTAGGTAAGATATGGATACAGTAAAGAGGGAGGAATCTAGGGGTATGGTAGAGTGTAACCTTAAGCTTTTGAGTTTAAAGATGTGCACTTATCTCCCATCAAGTATAGATCTGTTGCCTTAAGTTCTGCTGTCATGCGACTCACTTTGTCTGCATAAGCTATCATATCAGTGCTGTTATCTACCCTTACCTTCTTATATTTCCTTCTTGTACTAACACACACTACAGCTGCCTCTTCAAGAACATTATTCTTTAAACTGTTCCCATTTCTCTTACTCTTCCTTCACCCCCACCCATGAGAGAGAACTATATTTCTATCACATTTCTAAATCTTTCAGCCATAGTGGTAATGCTTCATATTTCTCAAGTTTATTTTCAGATATTTTGAAAATTGAAACTTTATTATGAATTTATTTTAGTTCTGATTACAGTTTTAGTTCCTCCATAAATTATATCATTATTTTTTTAACATTTCATTAGGGATACAGTACAGTATATACTTACACATATTTCTAATGTTCATACAGTACTTTTCAAATACTGTAGCTATATTTAAGTTCTAAAGAATTGTCATTAATTGTGGGATAATATTTTAGGTGCAAGTTTCTTCATCATCATCATCCATGCCTCCTTGTACAACATAGAGACTGTTCTTGGCTCAGAGGAGGAACCTTTCGATCTACAAATGGAACAGGTATGATCGTCCATGATAGTGTTGATACTCTGTTACACACTACTGTACATAGATGCAGTATTTGGTGAATGCATTAACATACAAACGTACTTGAGGATATAAATCGTATACAGTGTGGCATATTATTAGTTAAAATTAAGAATCATGTGTGACTTTTATTCATCATTTACATTTTACTTACAGGTGTAAAATATGCTGAACTTTTTATAAGGAAAAATTGGATATAAAGTAATTTAAACCAAGAATACCGGTGCTCAGTTGTTTTAACCCCTTCACTGTTGAATACAGTGATCCTACTTATACCTGGATTTGTTGAAAGAAGTTATCTCTTTGTCTAATATCACAGGAAATGATGCAAAAATATAAAATAACAGACTTATGAGATAAAATATCCCATGCCCAAGTAACGTAACCTCAGGCAGCTGGGTACTGACGCCATCCTTTTGTAAACTAAATATTGTAAGTACCGCCTAGCATTTTCAGTTGTTTCTCTGTATCTTGTGGTTATTGTTACCCAATTTTGATATTTAAATACACAGATAACACACTGTACCAATGATGTATTTTCACAGAACTATGTAAACAAAAATAGGAGTGGAGTGCAAAGTGATATGCTGTCAGTCAGTGAGTTGGAGTGAGTAGTTACACTTGATCTTAGGTTTGTTTCTAATTATCATATTATAATACACAGGCTTATCCTCTCACTTTTCTCTCTATGCAGTTTGTTCACATCTTGTTCTAGCACATGCACTTAACACCACACTTTCAACTACTGTATACTGTATAGAAATGCAATTGGGCAAATTTTTCTTCTCCATATCTGAGACAAAACACCCTGCTTCCTGCCCACCATTGGTCTTCCAGGCTTAGTCCTTGATTACCAGTGAGTCATTTTCATGTTAATGTTGTTTCTAAGCCCTAACAGTTAGTGGGAGAATTTGAATATAAGAATGACACTCTGACACTCTGCTCAACAGCCCGAACACATGGAAATGATGGTGAAGGGGTTAAAGAAATTGCTGATAGGATTGTATAAGTACTGTAAAACTTCAGGGATGCAAACTTCTCTTCTACAAATTATGTAATTCAGATAAGTTAATTTGGGCACATGAGTTTGTTTGCTAATCTTTGAAATGTTATATGATTGTTTAGATGATATATTTAAGTGTAAACTAAAGCTTTTGTGTTAGAAATCATTAGGTTTTCCAGCCAACGGTCAAATTTCTATACAAAGCATACATTATGAAATTACAGTAAAAATATAATATTTCTTCATTAGAAATTCCTTACTCCTGTTCTTGTGACAACCAATTTATTTATTTATATTTTTATAGAAAATTTTCTCTAGGACAATGCTTTGAATTATAAAAGAAGCTTTAAGAACAGATTTTATTTACACTATGCTAGGGCTGGTCAAATTCTTACTGACAGAATCAATAAAACTGTTATGAAAAATATATATACAAAATGAAGCTCTTGTTAAGATCTATTAATCCTGCATTTGGTTAACTTGTGATTTATGAACATGCATACATTAATCCTGGCTGGGTATGGTGTAGTGAGCAGTCATGCTCTCCAAGTTAAATACACCATATTCCTTTTGCAAATCAGAGAATATATACATCATAATGTGTGTGAATGCCATTAGGTTCTTGGGTTTAGGACAAAGTCACAGTGTTTGAAACATCATTAGTTTAGATGTCTTGTGGTGCTGCAGTTTTAATTTATCATTCTCACCACAAAGCAGGTCACTAGCCACTTGGGCGGTCAATCTGTTCCCTTGTTAGTAATTACCACATGCAGTTGGGCCACTAGAAATATAAAAAAAAACCTTGAAAAGAATGTTTGAATAATAAAATCGGTTGTGCAAGGAGGTAAGAGATGAGGGAAGACTAGAAAGTAAAGTAAAGTAAGAAGAGGAATATGAAGGATGATACAAAATGTTTAATCTGTGTGGAGTTTATATAGGCATTGTGATCTTGAAGGGATAAAGAGCACACACACAGAGTTGTTTGCCTTGATATCTTAAACTTCTCCCTCTTTGGTGCTGTCGTAGGTTTATTTTACCCAATGTTTAAAATTTTCACCATGATGTTTTCAGAGTGTAGGTGAATGCAATAAGAATTTTGCCATTTAAATGCTTAATTAAAATATTTGGGGTAATTCAAACAACTAAATTTGTTTTATGGCCATTTTATTGTATTCATGTGTAGGAGGTAGACATTACCGTGAGAAACTTTTCATAATTATTGTACAGTACTTTGTTTCAATGGTAAAGGATTGTCAACCCCTTTTTCTGTAATATTTAGGTATTGAAATGTTATTTTTTATGTCCATAACTTAATGAAAAGTGAGCTGTAACTTTTTTATGGAGTATAAATAAAAACTTTTTTCGTTTTATACTATTGGCTTCTATAACAAGTTTATTTAGACTGTAATACTGTATTAAGATGTAGATTACTGTACTTCCACAATGAATAAGGTATCGAGAAGAGAGAAAGAAAGTTACGACAAATAGTGATTGATATTACTGGTTTGAGATTCGGATGATTGTAGAGGAGCATCAGAAGTAGCATAAGGATAGAATGGTATGGAGGAGATTACATTGGGCTACCATTTTGTAGAGTCTTAAATTGGTCATTGCTGTATTGTGTTGAGAATGGGGAAGTCTCTGTCAGGAACATAAGGATAGAATGACAGAGAAGGGTACATATTATGAATGATGTATTGTGTTAGTTGTCTGTACTGAGAGGGGTCAAAATTGCAAGGATACAGTGATATAAAACATTGTATATTACTGTCATATTGTTTAGTGTTCATTGGCCACACCATATGCTGTTCAGAGTAACATTGAGTATAGAGGAATATCAGAAGTAGCGAATAGATGTAATTGCCATTGAAAAGATTGCCTAGAACAGTCCAGATAGCTTGGCACATAGCAATGAACCGAAACGCTGCTACATACTGTGCTGCGCACACACACACACACATCTTCCTCGACCTAATGTTGATAATACTCACTTAATTACTCCATACCTACCTCCATGTGCTGGATAACATATATTTGATCTTTTATTGTGTGAAACATGGAGAAAACTGACAAATCTATTATGTAAGAGATTTAAGTATTCTTGAGAGCAATATGATTTAATTACCCAAAGTAGTACAAGTGTGGTTCCATGCCTTAATATATATATTTATAATGAAATACAAATTGCATGCTTTATTCACCATTTCAGGGTTAGTCTTAACATATATCTTTGTGCATGGAGATGGGTACTGTACTGTATTTTAAGCTTTGCTATGACTATGTAACAGCTCTTGAGTACAGTTGGGTGAATAACACTAGCAGGCACTTGTTTCAACCCAAGCTTTTGCTATATAATAATTCAATAAAGCTCAATATTCATATCTTCCCATTAGTCTTTGCTTGAACAGTTGAATTTCTGTAACTCTGGAATGGGAAAAGCTGAACACTACCGTTGATGATCTTACCAGTACACTCTTGTTCCGCGTGTGAGCAATAAGGGGACATATATTTTACCTTATTCGTAGTATATCTGGCAATGGAAACGTCGATGTATGTAAATTTTAAAACCTGTATTGGTAATGGGCGAAAGAAGACTTGACAAAATGAGGACGTTTATGTGATACTTAGATATTTGATACTTAAATTTTGTTTATGGGTTCACGTCAGTACTTGAGTTTTTTATCAACATTGCGGAATTGGAGGAGTAGTAGAATTATTTTTGATATCTTGAAAATGAATGAATGAATAATGAAATAAAACCTTGATCAACATTTATGTTACAGTATTTTGATTTTTAATGAATGTTATAAAGTTCAATAACATGTTATGAGAACAAGAATACAAGGTGTTAATGGATGCTTATTTCTAATCATTAGTAAGCTTATTTTTATGCATCTTTATGTTGTGGGACTTTACTTGAAGCTGTTAATAACATCATCAAACACTGTAATTTCTGTCACTTGGACTAGATTTTCCTTGCTAGTTCTGGTCGTAGTATAAGTATCTGGTATGTTTAGTTTATATCTTTATATTATGTTTTAACCCTTGAATGGTAGCCATCATCATCAGTGAACGTTCCTTGTGGGGGGTAGAGCAAAGACTCAGCCATTTAAGGGTTAATGCCATTCTTGAATTATATCTCTGTCAACTTGAACAGATATGTTTGACTGTATTTTATTTTTTGTTGGTTTGATTTTGTAGCCTAGTGAATCGTACTGTAAAACTTCAAACTGTATTTTTTCACGAAAGATAAATGCAGTTATTTTACCACACAAAAGCATTATGTAGATGAATGCAATTTTTCACAGAGATATTGTTAGTAAATTATTTCTATTTATTATTATAACAATGGTTTATAAATAATGCAATATATATATGAAATTCAACTGTCTTTTATTTTGGGGTTCCTATGTACAGTAACCTTTTTGACCACTGCATATAGTACACACTGTATGGCGAAAACTATTGAACCATTAGTCATTGAGGCTGCAAGTTGGATATTCAGTTGTGGAAAAAATCCTCTTGATACATATACAGTAGAGTAGTATCATACATATGAGACGTTCTGGTGCAATTTATTATTAAACACTAATGCTACAGTACCTGGGGGATTAGGTTAGGTTAGCATTAGGATGGTTAATCTTGAGGTGAAATAAGCTTGGGGTTGCAAATCTAAAGATCTGAAAATGTCTCCATCTCAATTAATTGTCAAGAAATTCCCATAGTTGTGTGTCAAGAGTACCCAATGGTGCATGGATAAAGACGCTTGCATAATGAAGCTGCGACCACTTGCCATCAAAACTGATTATTTATAGTTAATTAAATTAGCAATTAATGGTGGAGAGAAGAGAACCGTTTGCTCTGAAGATGGAAGACGGTGTAGGAGGAAGATAAAGTGGGCATATTGTAACAACTTTTTATTTTTACATTGCTTGATAACTACAGTACAGTTGTATGATATTTGGGTAACTGCACAATTTATCTAGTCTGATATCATACATTATTATCTACACTATATAATAGTATTCGTTAATATTGCTATTTATAAATGAATATAAGAGCAAAACAAATTGGAAAGCTCTGAGCTTGTTACCATAATAAATATTAACGAAGTTCTCCCACGTAAATTATACATTTTCTTTTATTATCGCACCAGAGAAAACGAACAAACAGTTTCATGAATGAGTTTAAATGCGGGACTTAAATGACTCTGAATGAGATTAAATTCGGAAATTAAATGACTTTGAATAAGTTTAAAGGTGTTGCCGTAGTATTAAAGAGACCAATCGAGTATCACTCTAATTAAATGGCTAATAATAACAATAACAATAATACTGTAATAATAGTATTGATATAGGTTATTTGCGCGGGTAAAGTAGAAAGGTGTCTTAGAATTGTCTAAAACTCGAAACTATTGATTGCAAAGAAAAAATCCAAGAGATTATAATAATAAAAAGAAGAAGAATATTATTATTATTATTATTATTATTATTATTATTATTATTATTATTATTATTATTATCCTGTAGTTAATTTTATGTTACAAATTAACCTTAGCTATAGAAATTTTAATAACAAATACTTCACATAATGAAACTTTGGTTAATTTTTGCAAAATTAATTTTACGTTACAGAATATTAGCAAAAATTAAGAGAATAAATGAATTTCGTGGTAATTAGGATCCCTAGTCTATTGGTTTGGTTAGGTTAGATTAGAATATATATACTGTACAGAAAGTTAATTTTTGAGGAACCATTACCACCAAAAAGAGTTGTTCGATTCCGTTCATTTTTCTCACAGATGTTCTTATCATTAAAGTAAGTGTTTTAAAAGAGTTGACATTTACTAGAACCTTATAGAACCTGACCTAACTAACCAAAGGAACCTACCTAACTTTACCTAGTTCAGTTCTGTTACATACTGTCCCGTTGTTTAAAACTGGACTCGACAAAGCTCATACGTGTTGTCACATCTAGTTAGTTATTTTACAAGTTCACAGTTTGTTCTCCCTGTTACCTCTGTCAGATTTCTAGATATTTACTGTATACTGATAGCCTGGGACGTATAGTGAGCTACCCATCCACTAGATTTCAATTTTCTGGGGGGAATAATATAAAATTAAATTATCCAAGTTGCCCAATACAGGTGTGGCAAAAGAAAATTATAAAAAAATAAAGGATTGGCAGAAGAGACCGAGACAAAACACACAGTAATGGTAAATGTCACAAGACTTAACAGTAAAGTAATAGGTCAAATAGTTAATAGTTCTCAGCCTATCTCGGTTCTATTTGACATGTTTTACAGAATCATAAAGGTATTATTGTATGAGAAAGTTCTAGATCATCGGTGTAATAGATTGTATAAGAACATAGAGAATACATTAAGAGGGACACGTCATAACCCCGTGTTTACCTCAGTTACTGGGGTTTAAATCCTTATATCCGGGCTGTGTAATATAGCAGGTTTTCCCTTATATTTACCTCACAGTCATTATTATTTTAAGGTAATTTACATAATAAAACAAATAACTAATAATACATTTAGTTACATATATAATTATTTTTTATTTTGATATAATTTCTTCCTCAGAGTATTATTTAGGTTGATTATATAAACTGGTTATATCAGTACTGAGATTTCATAGTTGTCTGTGTTATTGAATTTTTCTTGTAAGTATTTCCTTCATTATCTCTTTAAATGAGTGAGCTTTAACCTTCTGTACCTTGATGGGGAACAACCTACAGTGTGAAGAATAACGAGAAGTATGAAGATGTGAGAATGGGACGGTATTAAAGGTGGAAAGAAGTGTTTGTGATGGTCAACCTAATTCATCAAGGGAAGGACAGCCATTTCAGACGAGGGTATTTAACCAAGCAAATTCAAGGATATAAGTAAATCCATTGATAATATAACACCCAGCAGGTAGGTAATTAAGCTTTAGGTATTAATTTTCTGTTAGTGTCTATGGATGATGTAATTTGATTTAAAGTGTGATGTTGTAAAGATTTTTTATCTATTGGAGGTTATTATGTTGAGTAATGTTAAAGGAGAATAGCACTGGTTAACCAGCTACTTAATGAAAAATATTTATATAAGAAAATTTAATTCTTACCTCAAGACTAAAGCAAATTAGGTGGAGGAATACAATTTTTCCTTTTCAGGTTTTTCTCTCAATTTTTCCTCCTCATTAAAAAAATCACAACTGTTTTTTACGTAAGCAGTGATGTATCATCATCTTCCTAATGTCTTATAGACAATAATGATGGTGCTATTCTGTCTCATACTAATAAGAAAGGCACAGATATAGTTATGGCAGTCATATCCAAAACGTCGACGTCTATTGGTACGGCAGCCTAATGCACGTGCTTGGTGGGCAGACTATACAATGATAGTTACTGAGATGGCCTTCTTCCTAGCTAACCTAACTTAACCATTAACTACACAGTCCATCAATACAGCTGCCGTACCCCTATCCAGTGTGGTTTATGGCGTACGGCTGCCATATCTTTATCCACTGTGAATAAGAACCAACAGCAGCACCAACTTTACAAAATTAAACTATAGACGCTGATGATAAATAGTACTTGAAGATGGAATGGCTTGGGACACGGTGGCTTCAGACACAATGTAGAAAAAAAAAGTTGAAGAAGTGACAGCTCCAAGACAGTTATAGAGAGCAAAATTTTCATGGTATCAAAATGTTGCCTTAACTGTAGTTTTCATATGTGAGTATCATTAGCTACTTTAAAGTTAAGTAATAAATAGAAGTCAGTAATTAATCAAAATCCATATTTTCCCCAAAATTCTAATGTTGCAGTTTTCTCTGGCAGGAGCATACCACAGTACATAGTGTAATATAACTAGTAAAACATATTAGGAACTTGTCTATCTTGAGAATTAAGAAAAAAATCTGGGGTGCTTAATACTGTATATCCAATAGTATACTGTACCTGAAAATGGGACTTGAATGTGCGACTTCAAACAGCTAAAAAATGACTTGAGATGCACAATCCAATTATTATTCATGCATGTACAGTATATACAAGATTACTTAATATGAAACTCGTATAGTAATGGCTTTATGCTGTCAATCCTAATGTACAATCTTAAAAAATGAGCCCATAACAGAACCACATGTCATGATATTTTCTTTTAATACAGTTTTCTTGAAAAGTTATCCCTTTTCTTGATTCGTTTTCTCGTTTTGACTTATAAATATAATTTTGTTCCTGCAGATTTTTATTATTATTTTCTGAGTTCATTGATGTCCGAAGCCACCCCCTGACTGTCCGGCCAGGCTCTCACTGGTGCAGCCACTGAATTAACACTAATGTCCGGAGTCACCCCATCTCTGGAGTGACTTCGGACACATAAATTTTCTCTTCATAGAAAACGTATAATGTTAACTGGATTTCTGCTTCACCTAGAATTTTACCCAAGATAATGTGATTAAAATTTACGTGGACCCACCCATGGCCCTATGGCACTGAAATACTTATAAAAACAAAAATGGGGGCCAAAAATTTTAGGTATTATGAGAAAGTAAAAAATGGTAAAAACCAATACCTGTTTGTGCTATAGTGCTATCAACCAGACTCACCACAAAAGTAACAGAATTGTAGATTTTATCAGTTAAAAGATACCGCTAGATAAAAAGAACCATGATATCAGAGAAAATGGTTATAATATACTGTGCTCTAGTGTACCTAGTGTACCTTGTAACCTGAATTATTCATTATTGTGTCACTGCAACTCAGATCTACTGGAGGAATAGTTGTTATCAGCTCCAGTCAACCCTCATTACTTATCACCTCTTCTTGCCCTCCTGTGGTATGTGCTGTTCACTCTTGTCGTGTGTGTGTGTGTGTGTGTGCGCATGCGTGCGTGCGTGCACTCAGTTAAATAATTGTTTACCACTAGTGGGTCTGGCAGACCTTTATCATTGTAGTGACTGCCTGGGTACTGTGCTATGGCCATCAATGTGCACTGTTAATATGTACTATACTGTATTGCTATTGAGAAAAGTGACGTATGTAGCAGAAATTTATAATTATGTTTTATAATATTTTACTTGCAGATATTACATGAGTAGTGTATACCGGAAAAGTTTCCCAGTGAGTTGCCAGTCAAGCCAGCACTGCCAAGATGGCAACAGCTGGGCCAAGTAGCAGTAGTAATAGTCGAAGTGAGAGCAGCAACAATGCCTCTGGGGGAGCAGAGGGTGGAGGGGAGGATGCCACTGACAGCTCAAACTTCGAGTGTAACATATGTCTTGACACAGCAAAAGATGCCGTCATCTCCATGTGTGGACATCTCTTTTGGTATGGTTAACTGCACTTTATGGTATTACTGTAGTACTTGAACTTCACTCAACTTTTGCTGCTGCTAAGCTTCCAGGGTAATTGCTTGATCATGAGAGTAGTTAAATCATAAACTTTAATTTATAGTCTAAATAATGGCACAGGTACACCTCACTATATGTTACCTAGTTATTCTGTACCTTGTTTTGCATATATGTATAGTACATGGTTGATGAATTAGAGGAAAAAATTTATTGTTACGGTAGCAAAAATTAAAAAAAAAATTAATGACATGAACACAACAGCCACAGGATGCCAAACAAGTGCCTAACCCCACCAATACAGCCACACCTGGTTTACCCAAATTAAATTCACTAGTATGTCTTCCAAGCACATTTTATTTAAACTACAGTATTAATATTTTTCATTAATTACTGTTTTCAATACAAACCCACCAGTTATTAAGGTAGTCAAATATAAATCCATGCGTACACTACATACTGTATTTGTAATTGAAGGCAACCAATCCTGCCGCTTTGTTCCAATAACTCCACCACTCACTACCTCAGCTGGCTTTCATACACAGTCTCTTCAGCCATCACTGGCATATTTTAAATCTAAATATTTATTGTAATTTATTATACAGTAATATAATTTTGGTATTTAATTAATATTTTGGCAAAATTTTTTGACATGTCCCCCTGGAATGGGACCCCAATACAGTACTGCATAGAATATCATTTGGTCTATGGTAAACTTGTGTTCACTATTATTATGTTGTTTCACTCAGCGTTTCACTTTTCTAGAACGTCTGTCTTAAGTATTTGGTGGTGATTCTGTATGAAATTGGAAAACTTTAGTAATTTATATCATAAAGTTAGTGATGATGACAAATTCTTGCAGCTGGCCTTGCCTGCACCAATGGCTGGAAACACGACCAAACAATCAAACTTGTCCTGTATGCAAAGCAGCGATCTCACGGGAGAAGGTGATACCTCTCTATGGCAGAGGGTCAGGCAACCAGCAGGATCCAAGGTCAGCCTCAGTTATCATCAAATTTCCCTAATAATCTTACATCATTCCCAGCTCTTCTATTTTTTTTTCTACTTGAAATTACATTATGCTTAATACAACTTTGTAGGTATGACTTATTAAGCTATTTGTTGGTTAATGAATGTCTAAGGGGCATTTATACATAGAATACAATTCTCTATTTGCGAGATATAAGGAAAATGTTTTAGTGAAAAATCATACATAAAGAAGATCAACTAGTGACAAATTTTTTTATCCATTACAGAGATAAACTTCCTCCTCGACCTCCAGGACAGCGCACTGAACCAGAACCCCAGAACGGTTTTATGCCCGGGTTTGGATTTGGTGATGGTGGGGGATTCCAGTTCCATTTTGGCATTGGTGCATTCCCATTTGGGATCTTCACAACATTCAATAACTGGGGAGGAGGAGCAGCAGTGCCCCCAGGTGAGTGTCTTCCAGTTAACCCCCGCACTGAAGGCGAGTGGGTACTTGTACAGTATATGCGTAATTATTTGTTTAGGTTTGATTTGTTCATTTGTGAACATAACTTCTCTAAAACATGGTCACCTGTACTGTATTATTTGCTTCTTATCGTTGTTGTTTTCTACACTTAGTAGGTACAAGTTATGATATTCTTAGTTTTTATGGCATGTTAGGAATGATCTGAAATCATGACAGCTCTAGGTAAGTTGGCACTACTCTGACTACTGTATTGTATGTGCAGGACAAGACCATTAATATCCGAGTGAGTTGGTGTTGATTTTGTGTGGTTATTACCTCTCCTGTAAGTTAAAGCTCTTAAGATGGATGTACATTATAAAATATGGTTTGATAGGAGGGTGGGAGAGCATTGCTCACGTAACTATGGCAGGACATGGTCTTGGGAAACCTAGCCGAAGTTAAGTCTCAAGGCAGAGTGTTAGAATCAGATCTCAGGAGTATCACTAGAATTTGATCAAGCCCCACTTTTGGGCAATCAAAATATAAAAAACCCACTATATCCATCTTGAAACAGTACTTTATATTTAAAACATACAAACTCATGAAAAAATACAAATGAACAAACATGTTTTTGTGATTTCAAATGAGACACTTCTTGAGAGGAGTCCCTAGGGAGAGCCCACGTGGGCTGTGTGTACCTTGCTGTTGTCAACATCACAGTTATTGGGAGTACTGTACTGTATTGTGTTTAAATTGATATGTTATATATTGTTTGTAAGTCATTGTTATTCATTTGAGCAATAATTTTCCTTTACTCATTGATGTATTTTTGCAAATACAGAAGCTAAAATATGAGCTTCAGTATATTGTTGTTTTCTTTTTACTGAAGACATTCACTGTCAGATTATATGTCAAACTTTAAAGTTTTTATTTCATTATTGTAATACATTACTGTATCATTTGGATGTATTTCAACATCATATACTATATTGTAGTCACAAAAGTTGCATATTTCCAATGTATTGTTGTAATTCACATCTCTGTAACACTGCACAGTAAGTATTTAATGGGCAAGAGACAATAGGTGACTCTACATAAGGTGTAGAAATTAAGAACTTCGTAGACCGGCCCTCCTCCCCAGATTGGGCTTTCCTGTGGCTGCATAGATTATGAATTAAGGAAATAATGTAAAGGAAAATTTATTTAAATTTAGTCTTGGAGAGCAACAATGTACAGGAGTATTATACGGTACTGGAATTTGGTCTTTAGGGGAAGTGCTGATTTTTTGTCATCTCTAGTTGTAGCATTCTTATGCAATTAACATTACTATTAGGAAATTTTGGAAACTTAAAGAAGAAACATTTAGATAAGGTGACAAAATGAGTCGTTACATGTGCATGAACTTTCCTTGGCCAGTAATAGGGTTGTGCTTGACACATCGTAAAGTGCAGATCTTGATTTCTACATAACAGGTAATGACAATTATTTATTCCTCAGTGCATTGTCTGGCTGGCCAATGAAGAGAGTAAAGTGCTTATAATTACAGTAGACGATATTATAAAGTAACTGCAGCATGTAACAACAGCAGTGAAGGCAACATGCAATGGGATGAGTCAGTACTATTGGTTGTTATTAACCTTGATTAGACTTTCCAAGTATCTGAAAAAAGCATTCATTGTTCAGTGACATCCCTCAGTATATGTGAATCACTTCCAGTAGCCTTAACCTTTACCAATAAATATTTAAGAACTTAAATATGAAATGCATTCCAAGTCACCGAAAAAATATATATAACCAATAATATGTTACAATATCCACAAAGCCAAAACAGAGGATTGGCACACAATTCTCAAATTTTAACCATTCGATCAATAAAATGGTGTCCATTACGTTTTTGCCAAGATACATCCCCTAAGGGCCACGACTGACTCATCACATTGCTGTTCCAGAAATGGAGAGAGAGTTGCCGCAGCTTCTACAATATATTTTGCTCATTATGGCCTTCTTCTTCTATTGGAATCTCTTCTTTGGCTGACCAACAAGGTATTTTTATAGAGCAGTTTTCTATTTTGTCTCAGATGAAGAGTAGATAAAGACTTTTCTGTTACTTGTTCAGGAAGAAGTCGCTTGATCTTTGTGTAGCACGAATTGTTCTTAATGATCTTTGTCAGGCAAAAGAAATATATACTGTAGCATGTATGTTGAGGATATGATGAAGTGTGTGTGTGTGTGTGTGTGGAGAGTTTTTTACTTGCTGTTTCAATCCTTATTTGTTGTTTTCTGCACTATCTCTACATCACGTTCCCCTCACCATTTCCCACGATGCATTCCTCAATATAAATGTAAGTAGAAGATAGTTGATGAAGTTATAAAGTTAATCTGTATACAGTATTTGAGTGTACTGATACTCTTTGAATATATTATTGTATGTACAGTATCAATATTAAACATGAAGTGCATTTGATGTTGGCTTGTAGTGTAATGTGAAGAGACTTCTTTTCAATGAGATCTCTCTAATTATGTTTTGTTTCAGGGTTGTCTTAATGACAATTTTTACTATAATTTTATAATAAATTTGTTTTTATTTAACAGGAATTTTTTAAAGTTAAATAGAGTATTTTTTACTGTTATATAACTTTTTTTATGCAGAGATGGGGTAACTCAGTATATGTTACAAAGAAAGACTTTATAAAGTTCAGTGTAAGATGTTAACAACTATTGTCATACTCTCCCGGCCAAGAAAATTGATGTAAGCATCATTAATGAGGAGCCTTGAGTGATCCTAGGAAACAATGCCTACCATGTGATAAAACTTATCACAATGGAAGAAACAGCAGCCCCTGTTTGTCATGGGCACCTGAGTTCATGTAGCATTCCTTAAAGACTTTAGAGATTGTAAAGAAAAAATGTCAAGAAAATGCTGTAACTCACTACATGCCATTTTTTTTCATGCCCTTCATCATTCCACTCACTACAAGCCGTCTCTTTCTCAGGCTCATCATTCCTCTTTGAAGTGCTCATTCCTTAATCAGGTCCAATCTATTCACTTGTATTTTAGTGGCCTATCTTTGTATTGTTTCCTTATATTGTATTTTTCAATTTCAGCTCCAGGGACCCAGCAGTACCAAGAGGAACGCTTCCTTTCTCAAGTGTTGATGGCGATGGCTTTACTCTTCCTCCTCTGGCTTATTCTTGTATAAGGTGCATCATTGGAGTATATATTGATGCAGAAAACAAATTCAAAGGTGAAGGCATATTACAGCATCACTGACCCTGAGGCTGGGTCGAGTGCTTTTTATGTTGACTTTTTTTTTAAGAGTTTTCTGTTAGCAAAGCTTTTCATGGTTTTTGTTCTTTTGTCTATCATATAAAGTATTTTTAAAAGTCACTTGAAAAATGTAGAAATACGTGAGATAAATCATAGCATCCCCGCTACCTTTAAGGGATGTTGGGCCTCAGTCATCTCCATGTCTGATGTCAGCATTAGTGTCTGTCTGTCTTTCAACTTTTTTTTTCCTCTCATAGTTTGTGGACATAGGTTTATTATTACATGGTTTAAATTTTATATATCATGGATATTTGAAACATCAGTCAGAGAATATTTAAAATTTGGGTTACATAGTGGATGGTGTCTTATCATCTTAAGGGGGGTTTATGAGGGATTATTTACTACCTTTTGGAGACTTTTGGGTTACATTTGAAAATATGAACTGGCTCTATTATCTCTTTTTTTTTATAAGACCTTTTGTCTATTCTTACCATAAAACACATACACTGAACCCTCATTAATTTTATATTTTGGGCTTATTCACTAATTTTTCTCACCACAGTTGTTGGTGGTACGGTGGTAATGCGTGTATCATCTCCCCATTATATGAAGGATTCGAATCTTGCTTGGCCTACCAAAAATCACAGGTTTCTCGGAGTTCAGTTTCCCCTGATCTCTTCTCTAAAATTACACACTTTTTGCTGATTCTTGATAAAAAGGTGTGGTGTTTATTGAGGAAACTGGCAAGGGTCTTTTTTGTACTCATTAGGCATGATTTGGGGTGACTTCTAATGATATATAATAACATACATACATAAACTAGTCTTCCTGAAATTATCTGAACACATCTTGAAGTTTCTAGTTTTGCATCTGTAATTTGAATTTCTTTTCCTTCATATTGTAAAATTTGAAAAACATTTATATTTTTCAGAGAACCTTCGCTTAAGCTTAACTAATATGTATAAAGACAGTTTTAGACAGTTTTCAGATATTAAGTCATTGTTACAGCATCCTTCACTTGTCAACATCAGTATGAAATTAGGTCAATTTATTTAACACTATGATTTTTTTTATTTATTAATGTATGGTTCAGTACTGTACTTAGTTCTATGACAATTTTTATTTGTTTATTTGATTTTTTTTTTTTTTTTTGTTATTGTGATGAGTATTTTGCACAGTCCATATATTAGAATGTTTATTTTGGCATTTATTGAAGTTTGATCATTCGAAGGGTAGTTTTATGGCACTACCCATACTTTCACATTTTATTACTTATGGTGTTTCTTGTGAATGATAGGTGATAACTGTGTACAGTATACACATACAGTATACTATACGTACTATAATTTGTATTGTATATACTGTATATTTGAGGTGGTTTGAGATGTATATATCATACCATTATATTTATTTAAAAATTGATAAACTATAATTGTGTTTTCTGTGTTTGTTTGTTTTTCTTTTGTAGCATAATTTCAGTAGCTATACATACAGGTTAATTTGATCAGCAAAAAGCCCCAATAATATTGAATCAGCGAGGGTTCAGTGTATAAATGCGGTGGATTTACGAGAATTAATTAGTTTGGACAGTGAAAAAAAAATGATGAGGTGGCTCCAGAAACATTAAGAAAGCATTGGGTTGTAAAAGGGAATAAAATAATCAGTTTTCATGTCATTACTGTTTGTATTATAAAAAAAAAATCACACCAGGAAATATACATGTTGACTTTATCATGTTCGTCTTGCTATGAGTATCACACATTTCACATGCACATTGGTTGAAAAGTATTCTTGTAGCGGAGAAAGTAACTTACATACAATACACAGTACCGGGTATATATCTTTGGGTCTCAAAATTGAAAAAGATTGACAGTTTTATATGAGTATTCCTTTGAAATATGAATTTGAGTTAAACCAGAAATATATCATGTAAAAAAATATCACTCAGGTCTCAGGGATATTAAAACTAGTGCATCAGTAAATACTCCTTGTGTGACCTTATAGACAGAGTTACTTGAGAGTGAGTTTATATTCCACTCTATGATGTCTTCTTCTTCTTCTTCTTACTCTTGGAAGGAAACCTGTCCTAGATAAAGGTATTCAGTGTAACCATCAATCAAGAGCAAACACAAACTATCCATTCATTAGATGTCATAAATAGTAACTGCCATAACAGGTGATGAGTTTTTGCTGTTATGGTTTTTTCCCCTTTCGTAACTTTGGCCCCGACGTAGCCCATCTGTATTCTTAAGTCACAGGAGAGGGAAATCTTAGTTCATCTCGATTATTTTTCTTGAGAGGGAAGGATGAGTAATGAAATTTGTGTGATTCCATGACACAAAACTAGAAGAAAAAACTTAAATACAGTGAGAGCTTTTCTTATATATATATATATATATTCATATCATTGATTAGTTAGGATATATTTATAAGTAGTTTGGGTAATTATAGTCATAACATTCATCTCTGCTTTGGTTAGAAAATCCAGTGCGGTGTACCTTATATTTGGAGGATTGGTCTTTCACATTGAGAATCATTTAGAATGTACAGGTGATGCAATTGGGGAAGTAATTTTGTAGATGCAGTGAGTGTTGGAATTTGCCCACTGTAGATATATTATTTATTTTGTTTGTAGTGTTTGGGTACATGTGTGTGATAGCTTACCAGCCACATTTATATAAGCAGGATCTCATTTTAAGGCAGGACGTAGCAGGTACATGTACTGTGTCCACCGAGTCCATCTGCCAATACATTTTTATCCGTTTATCTCCTGTCCATTTGAGTGATTATGGTTGGATTCCTTTGTTGATTATATTTTCATGGATAAATCAATACAATTGACTCATATCCTCAGTGTAGATTGTAGTGATATCAACATGAAGCATTGGCTGGCTGCTACTTTACACACACACACACACACACACACACACACCTCCTTTGTATATGAATGGATAAATTATTTCACCATGGATAAATTATATATATTGAATATACATTATCTCCCATGGGACAAGTTTACAGAATTTATTTTTTTTGAAGTTGCTGGAACATCTTCAGATAATATGTACAGGGATGTTGACTCTCACAGCTTTGTCCATGATTCTTCTGGATTAGATTTTCAGCTTATGATTTCATGCTTAAGTACCACAATCCTTTGGAGAGCAGAGTATGTTCTGTGTTCTGCTGTGGCTGTTGACTGATATAGGAAAATTAGCAAATGTCGATGGAGAACAATTATAAGGGCTGATTCATTGGATTTGATTTTGCTGAGCTAAATGCCTGTACAAGTGTAATATGTAATGAACAGTCATTTTACTCATGCCATTTTTTAAGGTAATAGAATTTTTAATTATATCAAAAAGGAAAATTTGACTCGACCATTCTCTGAAAAAGCCAACAATAAATAACAATGCTTTGTATGCAGTTTTGATTAAATTAGAACACAATGAACTAACAGATGGCTTCATGTTGTTCATGCCTGGAAGCCTGGAATAAACACAGTCATCTAATTGCAATGTTTGTTTCAAGAGTATGAGTGTTGGCCATTAAGGAGAGGCTGGGTTTATGTTGTATACTAAGCACATATGATGTTTATGAGATTTGGGTTGATTTCATTCAGTCAAATACTACAGTATCCATGGTGCAAAACAACATAGGAGTCAATAATATTGCAGATGAATTCTTACTATGTTTTCTACAGACTTCAGGCCACAAATATTTATGTCGCTGGTACGTGTTTATTTGATTCAAGATTTTTTTATTTTGGAAATTATATATTTTCTGGCTTTTGAACTATGAAATAAACAAAAGAAAAAAGTTATAATTTTGCAGACAATCAGATTTTTAGTTGCCTGTGTACAGAACTGGATAATTTGCATTATAATATTGTTTTGTCTTTTGAACCTCTTATCAGAAAGTTGCATTCTTCTGTGAGGGAATTTTGTTGTGGCTCTTTTCTTCAGTTGCTCTCTGATACTCTGAGGAAAGATCTCAAGGACTGGACTCAGTCACAGCTTGGTGGGTGACCGAGATCACTTGTTCAGCTCTTTGTTGTTTGTTAGCTTTACTAGGGAGCTTTTTGGTGGAGTGTATTGACTCTATATTATGATTAGGGAAAAATAAGACAAATTGCTAGAATACTGAACTAAGTAATATTGTGAATATGTTGGACAGTTTTGAGCTTTGTTGTTGTTGTGTTGGTCAATATTCCCCAGCATATGAACATTCCACTACTGAAGTCCTTGTCTCAGCTTAGCTTTTGCTTTTTGGTTTGTTAAGTGTAATATCTTTCCCATTACCAAAATTGTTTGGGAATCTCCATTACTTATTAATTTTATGTAAAACCAAGTACAGTAACTGGAATATTTTTTTTCTTTTGTTAGTTATATTTGTTAAGGTTTGAGCAACAATGTAAAGTGGGATGTTCTCCTCTATTGCTCAGAAATAGGAGGTGATGTATTTTGATGTTGGGTTCATTATTCTCAGATATATCCAGGGTAATATTATTTAGTGTCAGAACTGATGAATTTTTTGGATAATATATGAACTTTTTAAATAGATAGATATAACATAGTATATATCTGTTTATGTTTAAGAAAAAAATTATCTTTCAATAGCCTTACCGGAAAAAAATCAGAACTAATGGCGTAGATATTTGATAATATATTTTATGTAGATTGTATATGATAGTTAGATGCAATGTGTATATGTATATATGTTTCCACTGTGTGTTCATTACTGAAGATGAAGTGTCTTTATGCAATGGTAAACCATTCAGACTAAAAATCTGCCAATCTCCCAATTTCCATCTTGGGCAGCCCACTTAAATGTGTACAATGGTGTATTGGGCACCCTTGTTACTATAGCAATGCATATTGCACCTCTCACTGGGATTCTTTTATCATTTTTCTAATCAATGCCTCTATGTCTTCCAAGACTGTCCCCCTCTACATTATCTTGAACATCTCCTGATCACCAGTCTCCACATACATACAGAAACTTCATACACTGCCTTAGTCTTCATGAATCCCTACACCTCATTATCCCATGTTCAGTCTTTCCATTAATCTGTTTCAGTCACTTTGTTGGACCATTTTTAGCTGCATCAGTCAGCTGTATGAATGCCATTCCTGACCGACTCACAGAAAAACTTTTGCTCAGCTTGCACCATCCGGCCCATAAAGACTTAACTATGTTGACACAGCTTATGACCAGTTTTTTGTCACCCTTGTTAAATTAATCACTTTTTTTTTTATGAACAGCTTAATGTAAAGCCTCTTCACACATCATTTTCATCACTTGTCTCCATCTCATTAACAGTTAGACAAATTGGTTAAATAGCTTTTAATTCATGCAAGATTTCATATCATATATTGCAAATAATTTTTCTTTGTTTATTTGTTATTGGTTAATTTTAATGCCTTGAGAATAATGTGATACATAGTTTTCTGTATTATTCTTAATATCTTAAAACTGTCACTCATTCGTATGTTCATAATTTATACATCTTTAGTATGAAAGGGCCCTGTAATTCAGTTGGTCACATGTTAGACACCCAACCCTTGAGATGGGTCAGTCCCATGGCCAGGCCGTGTGCTTGGGGCATTAGTCTGTCTGCTTGTGTGAGCACAGAGCTGCCATCAATCACATCAGTTCCCATTCTCACCTGGGGGGTACCTAACTTTTTTATCTGTAGTTTGTTAGTTCAATGATCTTATGATTTTGAATAAGTACTTATATTTTCTTCTTGTTTACCTGAAATTTTTAATTTCAGTTATTTTGGGATGAACACAAACTTATTACAGAATAAGTAGCATAAATATTTACTCCTTTTTTTTTTTTACATATTATTTCCTTAGTAAACAATGTGTCATATCATGCAATTGTTTTGATATACAGTTTGTGTATTTTGCATGATATTTATTGTTGTTTTTCTGTGACAAGCAAATAGAATCTACAGTAACTGATTAGAAAACATGGAAGGTATTATGTACAATGAAAGACAAAAGTCGTGTCGTGAAATTTGGTGAAAACATTTGGTGCGCTCTGTCGTGTGGTAGGGGGCTCTCATAGTGTTTCACGAGCTATATTTAATCTTCGGACAAAACCGCGACACTACTTTTGTCTTTGATTGTACACCCACTCCAAAAAGTATATTCACGGATGGGTCCAACGAATTTCAAAATGAACGCTGCGACTTCCATTCTGTTATCTCGGCAGGATTGCTAAAATCCTTCGTCCGTTGTGTCATATTATTTTAACACAAACTCATAAAGATACTGTACTTTTTGGAGTGAGTGTGAAAGTGAGTCCTATAGGCATGACTTCCCATTAGGGACATTGTGGATACAGGACAATGTATACAGTACTAAGCCTTCGGTACACAAGGAGGCAGCATGGCCGGTACTGCACTCGACCGCATTCACTACCCCAAGCTATGAACTTAGGTACCCATTCACAACTGGGTGAACTGGAAGTGAATGTATGTGTGTTTAAAAAAAAAACTATTCTGACAGTAACATCTCATCAGCCACACAGTAACTCCTCGGTGGATGTGCTTTGCTAGATTCTTTAATTGGGTTTAAGTTAACAATGATTTAAGTTGAAATTTGAGTGTTGGGTTTGTGAAAATGTACAAATTAATGAGCCTGACATAGTAATGCAGTGAGAGATAAGCAAGGAAGAAGTATTAGTGTACAGTATATGGGTATTGGGGTTTCGTTTCGATATAAAAAAATGTTCCTTTAGATGATAATGAAAAACGATAGGAGTATGTATGTATATATAGTATTACTTTGGGCTTTTTAAATCCAGACATAGGCTATAAGAGTGTTTGTGGATTGGGTTTGTGTCAGAGAGTCTGTGTATCAGGTTTGTGTAAGACTTGTGGATCATGTTTGTATAAGAGACTTTGTGGATCAGGTTTGTAGATTAGGTTTGTGTAAGAGTTTGTGGATTAGGGTTTGTGACTTATGATAGTGTGGTACTGTATCAGGTAAGAAGTGTAGATGAAACTTTTATATGAGAACATGTCTGGAAGGCTACAGTGGATTGAGAGATTAGGTTAGGTTAGTTTATGGTTGAAGGGAAATTGAATCAATGATACATATTGATCCTGCCAACTTTGTACGATTACCGTATTTACATTGATGGGCAAAGTGAGTTTATGACGAATAATCTGTTCTATTTTAAACATTTATTATGACAAAGTTTGAAAATTTAAGGGAAAGCAAGATGGTGTGTACTTGGATGCCTATTGTTTATTCTGGTAAAAAGTTTGTGAGGTTCTTTGAAATGTGTCTTTGGAGTGATTGTGTCATAGGAAATAGTTGTGATTATAGGGTATGTATTCCCTCCTTCTGTGAGCTACAAGACTCACTCAGATGCCAAACACAATACTTTAATTTTTTCAGATTAGGGAATGGCCCAGTCACCTTGTGTATGTCACCCAAACATATATAATCCTCAGCAAAGGAGGCATCAAGTAGAGATGTGTATGGAGATGGTTGATACAGTAATTAAAACATTCAAGGAATATGCTTCAGGCTCCCCCCTCACTCCTCTCTGAATGTGGGAAAAGGTGTTTGTGATGATCAATGGCCGAGTTGGTTTGGGTACCGTAACCTCTGTCAACCCACTTTTAAGGCACATTTATGTCGTGTTTGTGTCCTACAAAATGGATAGATTCTGGAAAGCATTTTTGATTGATAGAATGTTGAGATATCAGAGAACATAGACAGGTAGCTAAATGCTAAGGCCTGAAGAAGAGTAGAGGAAATGAGGGGAGGATGAATGCTAATGAACTGTGGGTGTGTAACTCTACGATTGTAAATAAATGATACGGATTTTGTAAGACGTTGTAAAGTTGAGGAGTAGGATAAAGCAAGAAATTAAGGCTCATATGTTACTAAAGGAGGTTACTTTTACTGTAAATATTCAGTGGATAGAAAGGGCATCCAGCTGTAAAACTTGATCCAAATTTGTCTGATGGCCACTAGGATGCCATGACATCAGGTAATAATAGCTAACTCACACAAACATGAATGTCCATAAAATACGGTAGTGAGGATGATTGTGATGAAGAAAGAGTTTGAGTAAGATGAAAGTATCTTTGGAGGAAGCCCAACAGTTATTGTAGACGAAAAAATTTGGAAATATGTGCCTAAGGAGCAAGTTTCAGTGTGGAAATCTTGGTAAATGTACAAAACTTGCAGTGTACCGGTATGTGAAAAGGGGACAGCATGAATCATCCCAGTTTATGATGGGATTTGAATATTTAAAATTGTTGCCATCTCTCATTCCACCATATATAGTTGGGAATGAAATCTGGTTGATAGAGAAATATACTGTACTGTAGTAGTAGTAATTTTTGATACTTTAATTGTAAAAAGCTACGAGACTTTAGGTTTATTCACAGTCTTCTAATGCATAAGGAAGAAAAGTTACTGAGTGTGTGCATCCCTCAGTTAAGAGTTCAGGGTCACATGGCATTATTTTCATTCTCCTCAATCACAGCCGTCGTGTACTGACTCACTATCTGTAGAATTCCTCACTTGTATCCATTAACATGTATTGAATTGAATTGATAATTTCTAACGTCACTTTAAACATTTTTTAAGAGATACAGCACTGATATTCAAACCCGACTGGAAACCACTTGCAAAACAATATTTGTTGTCGTGCCAAACCCTATTTATATTAAAAATGTCATGTCGCAGCTTCCTTTCTGAATTCTAGACACTTGTGCATCCCCCCATCTATACACGGCCTCATATATTAATACAATAGCATGCCTTGCTGTGACAAAATTATGCCACTTGAGCTTTAATTTCAAACTAGTTTTGGTCATCAAAATAAATGCTAGTTGGTTGCACCGTCTGCTTTTCTGTTTTATGCATTAGCCATTATTTTTATATCATGCAGTGTAAGAGAAACACCAATGAGGAAACTTTGTATTATTACAGAAATGCTTATTTAGTATGACAGGCATACTTTTTTATGAATAGGATATCTTGGTCATAGTCACATTATTTTTATTTATTTATTTTTGTGTGTAAACCATTGATGAGGGAAGATTATAGAAGGTATAGTAAATGGTTAAATGGTCTTGTTATGTACAGTATTGTATAATAACAATATCTTTAATTTTCTTTGAGTGCTGCTTTTTTTTTCCTTCCTTTTATTTAAGGTGGCTTCTGTTAATCTCATTACTGTCAAGCATTTCTCCAGAGTAGCTTCTTAAGATTAATGTATTCTTTTTTCTTCTGTGGGGCCTTTTTTAGTTTCTTTATATTTTATTCATGCCAACCCAGCAATACCATCATCATTGTTAACTTTATTTTATTATCATGAACACATTTTTTAGTGGAATTCACATGAACTGTGTTTTATAGCCATACAGATATTTGCTGTATATGTACTGTACGTTAACATGTTTAATGTAAATATTATATTGGTATAATGAATAAAGCAATGTACTTTTACCAGTTTTTCAGTACAGTAGCCTGTTGGTCATGGCATTATAAGAAATTTTTGTATGTGGAGTGACACTAATCTGAAGTTCCTGGATACTTTGCATGACAAATTCATTGACACCACTACAGGCCTTCATACTTAGCTCACACTGCTTATCCAAGGAGCTTCAGGAGGTGTTTGATATGTGTTATTGTACTTTGTAACAATTGGTTTTGTCAAGAAATGAATAGACAATTAAAATGTAAAATATACTGTACCACTAAAAAGCTCATACAGTGTGGTAGATGATATCCAAATATAATTAGTGAAAATATCCAAATTTTGTATGTGCAATATTCGTTCTCTTCTCGGAGGAGCCTACAATAGTGTTTTATCCTAATTTTATTTAAGAAAATATATAAATTTAAATTAAATAAAACAAAACCTCTTTTAGAAGTATCTTACTGTTGGGCAGTGAAACCAGGTAATATTTCAGTCATTTATTTACAAATAATGGTCATTACTTATTCCTTCTTGTTTAACAGAAGGAGTTATTCATTTCTAATCTGAGGTGGAAACAATCCAGGCAAGTGTACACTATTATGTATCTTCCTCAGAGAAACTTCTGCCATTAAAATATGGACCATAGAGTGGGTTCTCAGAAAATATGTTTTTGTGGGTACTGTAGATGTTCTGAAGACTGATGCGCTGGATGACACGGATGTTATAACCTTAGAAGACCCTTAAATACATGCTGGGATCTTACAATGTGTTATTGAGAGTAGAACCCTGGAAAGACAGACTAATATAATTTAGAAGTGTGACATTAGGATCTTGCATTGATCTAATGAGTGGGAACATTGAGGAGACTTATTCAATGTGAAAGACACTAAATCTAATAAAGAGATCTTGTGAGTGGAACCTTGGAGGGCAGTTTCATGACAATGGATAATGTAAAAAGTAGGAAATCCCGCTGAATAAGAGGGTAAAAAAAAAAAATTGTGTCGATCACAATTTTTTCATTTTCGTACTTTCCATTAGGAGTTTGCCACAACTAGATGATGTCAGTTTTCTACTTTATACAACAGTGGTTAATTTCTCACATGAAATAATGTCATGTTAAAGCAGCAAAGTTTACACTTTACAAAAGACAGTGTTATAGCAAACTTTACAATATTTACCAGTACAATATCTCATGGTGATGGTAAATTATCTTTTAATCACTAATACAAAATTTCTTGGTAACTTTTGTGGTAAGACAGTGCCTCCTGGTGATCAATGGTAAAACATGTTAATGCAGTACCTCTTGGCAGCCTCACAATACAGTACTGCAATACTGTAGTGGAGCTACTGTATGTACTTCTATACATAAATGATTTCTTGAGCAATGTCATTAAATATTGATGAGATAACTGAGCCTCTGGGAAAATCTAATACTGCAAGACAATGTTGAACGGAGTTTAAAAGACTTTGTTTTCCAAGTAAGGACGGACTAAACAGTACAGATTTCAAGGACATTGACAGGTATTGGTAAAAGTTCTTTTGTTCATGTGATAATAACACATAGGTTGATGTTATATAACCAAGAACTGGAAATGTCACCGTTGCTATCTTAATATTGTATACAGTATTGCCAAGCTATACATCATGTCCTTACTTGAAAAAAATTCAACTCCATCCAAGTTATAAGCACAGAAGATGTCTGAATATTTTTCACAAAAAATACTTGTACCTGTACATGTTCCTAATTAAGTCAATATAAATCTAAAGGTTGTTTGTTTTACTAGCTTTTTTATTCAAATCTTGGAGCCACATCGAGCAGGTTTTATTTATTTTTGTATATTGTGTTTTATTTTAGATCTAGACAAAGGATCTACATCAGTCTGTCCAACTCATCTGCTTCTCTGGTATAATTTGCTGCCATAGTGGACAGGACTGGTTCTACAACATGTGTTCAAGACTTAAAAGAACATGGCATCTTGACCTGCCCACTGCTTGTTAAATCTTTCCTGAAAGGTCAGTACATTTGGAGACATAATTACCTGCTACAGTAGACTGTTACATACGTCCACAAGGTTTCTCAACCTGGTGTGTGGTCATATCTTATAAACGACTTAAAACTATGGCGTCTTGTGTTCCTCTAATGTAGTCTTAGTGATGGTCTTGCCTCTTCATGATATATTTCTTGCACCATTTTGAAGGTCTTCTTCACTCTGTACGTCCTTCTTCGTTGGTTCTTGTCTCCTGAAAGATTAATAGGTTCGTGGTCCTGTTCATGATTTTAACATTATTTTGTATGGTTCTTTTACTGTATTACTCGTCAAACTGCAAGCAGGAGCCTGTTACCCCTGATATGTATTATTACTCAATCACAAAGAAAATTAAGTCAAGGTCAAATATGAAACATTACTTCACGGAGACTTTCACCGCTATTATCTGATTACTGTATTGAAAGTCACTGTGTACTGTTCTATAATACAGACAATGATAAGAGAATGTACATGCTTTTCATTTTAGGTAAAAACAGATTTTCTATAAGAATTATGATTTTCTATTGCCCAAAAACTTTACTACAGTAGGAGGAGCGATTTCTTTGAGGTTGAGACCAATCTCAGTACAATACAATATTCACTTGCATACACCTGTGAAGCTCAATGGAACCATAAACAAATTTATTAATAAAAAAGTATACCCTGTTTATAAACTCACAGATAATTGTGGTACACAGGATAATATACTAGATATATGAAATAACTATTCATATTCTACTATTTAGTCATTTCTTCTTTCTAGTGCATCAGACCCAGGCAGTCAGTTCTTGTTTATCAACAATTGAACAGCAAATTCTGTTTTTTTAATATAAACTTGACTGGTGGCTAAAAAAAAAAAATAAAAAGTATTCTAAAAACATTCATTCACATTCACTCTTCACTTCACTACACTATTTGGATTCCTATTTCGCCCACTTGTGCTAATCACACGTATTCGCTAATCATAGGAAAGTGACTTACTGCAACGGTAAAGGTGCCTTATCATATATGATGTCTTGAACACAAGCAAACTATCAAACTGTAAAACTTTGCACACATCCTGACAGTTATCACATTCTACACAAATCATATATTACTATAAATTTAGATACTCTTGGTTATGATTCACAGGCCAAGAAATACTATTATTAAATTTGTCAACAAACAGGAGAAGCTATAGCATTATTTTACTTTCTTTAGAATACGATCACAACATATTGTTCACCAAAAGGTGAATATAACGACCATAAGTTGAACATACGTGGTGCCGGGAGTATGTTTGTTTATACAGCATCTGAGTTACATTTTCTGGTCTCACGACTCGCACTTTCAAAGAGCCCCTTTTATCAGTCCACACCTTGAGGTACCAGTGTATCCAAACTTATCTTAAAAGGCCCGTACCATAAAAACTAAGCCAGCACGAGCAATCAACAATGCCTGGCGTTCACTTCCATCCCGAGACGACACGCTCGTGGAAGCTACGTCAGACAAATGCCTCCTGCTTGCTATCTGCCTGCAGTGGCACTCTTATGGTACGAACATAAGGAACCATCATCCTCGTCACAGATATCAGGGTATCAAGCACTCAAGATCTCAGGGCACTACTGTCTCTGCTGCTGATCTTAGGGCTTCATCGTCTCTCACCTCAATCATCCGTCTCCTCACTCTCTGGGGTCTCCCCTTCCGTGGAGTTTTCCTCGCTAATGTCACTATCGGATTTACTTTTAGTTTTGTGAAAAGGGCTGCCAGGGCCTCCCATACTGCTAACCTCATAGTCTCCGTAATCGTAGTAGTCGTAGTCGAAGTACTGGTAATCATAGTCCCGAATAGGGCTGGGTAATCTGAAGGGAGATGGAGTAGTGCGGGCCAGCTGGACGGGCCGGAAGAAGTTTTCCAGGTTAGGTTTTCCCACAATCCTCACGGGGCGAGGAACTGGCCCTTTGGAATCATTAATTTTCCTTGGACCTTGGAATGGCACCAGATTGAGCAGATGAATCCCCAGAGGTGCAAGAGATCTGGCAGTCTGTGGCACACGCTGGTTTAAGGGAGGTCTTCCAGAGGTGTGAAGACCCATGACAATGGGCGCAGATTGGCCTTTGACGCCCACGGGTTGGGGCACCAAAGGCGGGGATCCAACCCGCAGCTTTGGGACGTTGGGTATCCTCAAACGATCAATCAGTACAAAGTCAGTGCCCTTAATTGGCTGAGCTTGAGAGGAGTCGACGATTCCTATTAAAACATCATTTGTCTCCTGTGGTTTTGTTGGTGCCTGAGACTGTTGTGTTGTGTCGCCGAGTAATGATGTTAATGTATTGAACACACCGGAAACAAAATTGTTCTCTGGGATTGAGGCAAGAGCTGGCTCCTGGAGCAAGTCATCTTCTTCCCCGTGTTGAGACACAGACTCCTGGGGGACGAGATTCTTAGACTGACCAGTTGCAAAATGAGTATCAGAGTGTTGGGGTGCAAAAAGTGGTGCTGCAGGACCTGGAGGAGCAACTTTAGGTGTGGTCGCCCGAGAAGCAGCTGTAATACCGACGGTATTCTCCTTCCGTTCATCATGTTTAGGTGTGTCAGGCTGCCCATTTGGTTCCCTCAAAATTTGGCGATTATGATTTTTCTCGCTATTAATATGGTCACTTGATTCCAGTGTCAGCAACAGTGGGGAGGGGTGTCCAGAGCCACTGCTGGTGGCGTGAGGCTTGAGAGGGGCGGCTCCTCGCTCTGGGTTAGATCCAGTGCCCTTTACGGGCACTTTGTGTCCAGCCTCAAGCGTCGGGACGCCCCTTTCCAAGGTCCTCTGCTCGGGTGGAAATGCTGGGACACCCTTTGCCAGTGTTTCTTGTCCACTTAAGGTCGTGACACCGTCAACCACGGGTACACCGATGGCCAGAGAGGCAGTGGACGCCTCTGGCAGGTTGGGCACCACATCCCCGAAGGCCCTAAATCCTCTCTTGTCTGCCACGTACCAGATGTGGTGACGTTCGCCAAGGTTGTCCACCCAGCTGGAGGGGAAAACCGGGAATTTAATTGTCAAGAATTATTCCTGAAATATTTATGAGTAACATTGTCTTTGTTTTGTAATATAAAATTGAATAATATCTAGTGACATGCGTCTGTTATTACTTTCACTTGATAAGTCTACGAAAATCGGATAATGAATATATTTATGATAATGATGATGAAGTAAAAGTAATTAAATATTTCTTGAGATAAATCTTATCAAGGTTAAGAACGGCAACAATAACAACCAACAGTAACAACAACAATAACAGAAGAAGAACAGCAGGAATGAGTCTGATCACTACAGACTGTGAACCTCTTACTGCAGTAGATGATGAATTACCAAGGAACAAGGGGCCCCAAGTCTTACCTTCAGTAACAGCATCCAGGAACCTCAATCCTCGCTACATCAGCTACAGGGATCATATAATTTTTTGCTGTATCGAGTAATTGTGTAACACAGTTCATCTCCACCAAGGAAATGTTAAAGCCTTTGTTGCATAGAGAAACACAGAAGAACTTGTGTCGTTGTTGCGTAGATGAACTTAGAGAAACTTAGCTGTTTATTACATAGAGAAACTTAAATCTTTGTTGCATAAAGGAACTTACGTCTTTGGTGCTTAGAAGAATTCAGAGGAACTTCTTGCAGGGGAACTTAACTGTCGCACAAAGAAATTTAAAGCTTTGTTGCATAGAGGAACATAACTCTTTGCTACCTCAAAGAACTGCTCTTAAACTCTCACCTCCACCTGCCAGTTACATTGAGGCCAGGACTTCCATTCTCGCTCCTGGAGTGTTGTGGCTCTGTGTAGCGTAGGATCTCCCCTGACAACACCCCACTACACAACACCAACACACCCTGGCGAAGACACACAAACATACTCGGGGTAAGATTACGTGAAAGGAAGAGTTACATAGATTGAGATATAGACTGATAGATGGATTAATTGATCGATTGAGATAGATACAGTCAAATCCTCTTAGAAGTTTACATTGATTTCTCGTGTAGATAGGCAATGAAGGAGAGTTAAGGAGGAAATTTAAAGGAAAGAAATGGAAATGAAGTAAAGAAAGAATATGAGAAACGGCAAATAATTAAAATAAAGAAAAAGAGAGGGAGAAAAAAGTAAATGCTTATAGCAGGAGCACAACAATAAGAAAAAGTAAGAGAAAACGGAGAAGAAACTGAATTATAACTAAAAAAGAAAACGAATAAACTAGTAAACTAGAGGGGAAACTAAAAGGGATAGAAATAATTGCCTGGGTGACTCAACGTTAAAAAGATACAACAATTTGACTAACATAATGTCAACAAAACGTGTGATTCATAATTGTATATGAAATTGGTACATAACATAGATGAAATTAATCAGAATATGAAATATGGCTGGTGGTACTCCTACTATTACTACTACTAATGTTAATATAATAATAATAATAATAATAATAATAATAATAATAATAATAATAATAATAATAATAATAATAATAATAATAAAACCACTTTCTACACTGTTATTTCAGGATTAAAGACAAGAAATACAATAACAAACCAAATACAACAATAACATCAGATTATACATACTAAGAACGAGAAAAAAACAAGCAACAGAAGCTAAATAATGACTAACAACGATAACAAGAACAAAAAATATCAGTCATATTGAAGAGACGAGCAAACATCAGCACACAAGCGCCACCTGTTGGACTGTTCACAAGCACTCAACATCCTAAACAGTAAGTGTTAAGTAAGCTCGTTGTTGCCTTGGCCTTTGTAGGTGAGTAGGGCAATAGGCGGAGTTCTGTAACAAGCAAACTGACACTAACAGCGCTACTGCTTGTCGCTAGGCTCCACCCACCGATGACGTCACCTTCCGGAGCCCGCACAGTGATCCTTCCTCATGAAGTGCTGTTCAGATCTGGACAGTTGGTAGACATTCTGATAGACAGATGGCGCTGTATAGTTTTTTGTGATTCCTAAAGATGATAAGGTGAAAGCTCGTGTGTCTGAAGATCATCCTACAGCCAGTTTGTTCGCCACCATCATCGTGTTCCGTGTTCCATGATGAGGACTCAGGTATTGTAATCATGATTTGATATGTACTGTACTAGATAGGTGTCTCGTCATGACTAAGAAATATGTGAGGTTTGTATCCCTAAAGATCCAATGAGGGTTTTAGTTTAGTCTAAGGTGAAGGAGGAAATGGAATAACATAGAGAAAACTTGTCATGTTTAGTACAGTCTGTCACACTGGAGTCAACAAATCCACCTCTCACATCAGACTCAAATAGGAATTGAACACAAATCGCATCGTGAGAGATACTCGTAGATCCAACTAATTAAACAATAACATACGAAAGAAATAACTGGAATGTATATATTCATGATTAACAAAATAGAATACCTAGAATTTATATATTGATGAGAATTATTTTTCGATGATATTGTTTATTTTATTTTGTGTAGCAGACAAGTCGCCTCAGAGAACGCTAGTAGCGGCTGGGTGATCTAGGAAGGGGAGGTTGAGTCACTTTTAATAGCGGGACCCAAATTGTTTGTGGTTGTAGCCTTCTTTAACGGGTTTGGGGAAGGTAGGGGAGGAGGGAAGGGGGGGAAGATCAGGAGCCATACATCTCCCCCTTCCTCACCCTCTTTCTTCTTCCTACCACCACCATCACCAACCCATTGACAACACTATCACCACCATTGTCATCATCACCACCACCACCAGCGTTAAGATACGGTAGGTTAGGTTAGGTTAAAGTTAGGTTAAAGTTAGATTAGCGTTAGGTTAGGTTAAAGTTAGGTTAAAGTTAGGGTAGTTAAACCTAATCCAAATTAAACCTATTGAGGGCATTAAATCGTCATATCCTAAGTCGATAAGCAAACACAAAGTGACGTAAAGGTGTCAGTAATGTTGACTTGTCTGACTAGTTTAGATTAACGTGTAGAATGTATCACGAGAGGTCAGGGCTGGAAGGAAGGAGGCTGTCTCTATCGTGCTGTGTGGGGCTGAGGAGACCCGGAGACCCCATAAGCCGTAAATACTATCAAGACTATATGTGTAAGATGAATACCAAAACAGGTGTCATTATGAAGATTGAACTCTCCTCCTCAATCTCCTTCCCATTCCCTACAACTCCTCTACATACTTCAACTCTTCTTCCTCCTCCTCCCTCCTCTCCTCTTCCTTTTCGTCCCTTCCAATTCTTCCTCTTCTACCCATCCTCCTCTTCAACAACTCCTCCACATACTCCTTCTCTTCCTCCTCCCCCTCTTCCTCTCTTCCAATTCCTTCTACCCCTCTAACTTCTCCCCTCCTCCTCTTCCTCCTCCTCCTTCTCCTCTTCCTCTTCCTCCTCTTCCTCCTCCTCGGTGAAATTAGAAAGTAGGGCATAAGAAGTGATTACAGAAGAAGTAGGAAGTAAAATAATATCAGTTTGTTGAGAATTTTTACTTCCTCCCCTGTGAGAACTCGCGGTCGTGTGAAGTGAGAGAAAAAGTTGAACTGCCAATATTTATGTCCATATCTGTAAATACTTTTAAAAATATTTATTTTTTATTTATTTATCTGTTTATTTATTTGGTTAGTTTGTTTGTTATATTTTGTTTATACCTATCATGACTCTTAACTAAAGCCAGTGAAATTCGGACATTAGATCTGTGAGTTATTTTCTGTTCATTTGATGCTTAGAATTTCAATGCAGTTTAGACACCTATTCCGATCGCTTTGTTTGCGTCGTAACTTCAGGGAACCAGCCAGTCCGTCCTTACATCTTCAGTTTGGGGGAACCTTGAACGTGTGAGCCTTAGACAACCTGTACCAAGGACACTGGTTGGTATGAGTGGCATTTGTTTATTTATTTATCTTAATTCGGTGGTATTTATTCACGGAATTTGTGGTATAGGGATACTTGATGGTCGATTAGTCAGTGAGTAGGGGAGAAAGGGAAGGGAGTGGGAAGGGAGAGGGATATCTATAGGCAAGATGAGGATTTCAATGGGTCGTCGGTGGGAGTGGGTAACGAAGGTCTGGATTAGTGGTGGTGGTGGTGGAGGTGGTGGTGATGATATCCCACTCCTCCCCCCCTTTACAAAAACTAGCCACACCCACCTTCTTCTGGCCTAGTTTTTAGCCTTTTCCCAGTGGCGGTGTGTCCAGGGTGCAGGTGTGGGAAGGGGGTGGTGGGGGGGAGAGGGAGATAGTGAAATACAATGCGGCATCAGGAGTTTGGGGTTCCGAGGTACGTACAGTAAGTGTAAGATGGCGTCAAGTAGGTCGTGTTAGGGAGGGTGGGTGTGGAGACAGGAGGTGCTAGAGAATGGAGGAACCCTGAAGTCATGGTTGCTCGGATTTTGGGTATGAATATGAGATGAGGGGTTGCTAGGGGCATGCTGGGCGTGTGATAGGGTGTTTCTAGGTGATGTTGGCATGTGATAAGGGTTGCTAGGAGGTGGCGATGGGGTATACAGGGTCATGAATTCTCTCTCTCTCTCTCAGGATCTAGCGAAACCCAGCCACACACCTATAATCAGCTGTCCGAATTATATGTCTACCTAACCCACTAGAGGCCATTTGGACCCTGACCTTTATATGGTAGGTTACCGCTGGCTAAATACCATGGCAGAGAACCTTGGTGTAAAAGAAAAAGGACGCACGGAAGAGCATTTGGTATTTATCTTCCAGCAACAGTATGGTGCGGGGGAGTCCACTGTCTGGTGGTAGTCTTAGGTAGTGTGCTGGGCAGAAGTCTTATACACGTGGATTCAGGTCTCCAAAGGGTTTTCTAACCTGACTCTATGGCGTAATATGCTGTCGGTTTCTAGGTCACTTGTAAACATCTCAATTTATTTCACTTGAGGATTAAACCCCCAAACTTTAACTTAATATAGCCTAAACATAACCTAACATAACCTAATTGAACATAACATAACTAGACCTAACCTACCAGAACTTAAGCTAACCGAAAGTAACAATCAGACCTAACCTAGCTAACCCCCCCTTCCCCAGGTAGCGTAGTGTGTTTAATCTTCAGGTGATTCAAATATCCGTATAATTATAGGAGCGAGAATCAAACCACTTTTTGAGCAGATTAATATAAGTCTATATTCTTGTTTGGTTGATAGAAGTAGAAAATATGCCCTAAAGATGAATAAAACACAAAAAAAAATTAAAACATCTGAAAAATCAACTTTTTGGGGCTTTCATCTTTAACCCAAGATAGTATACAGAGCGGTCCAGGGCTTAGCTGCCGAACCCCATCTTGAGTTGCCTTGTCCAATCATTTCTCCAAGGACATCATGATTCGTGGATTTTGAGTTTGTTGTTATTATTGTTGTTTTTTGTTATAATGTTGGTATTGTTGTTTGTGTTGTTTACTAAGACTTAACTGTTTCTGTATATATTTTTTTACGCATTTATAAGGAACTAACGTGAATTTATTGAATCATGTACCCTGTGGAGCGAGCGTAGTGAATGATGGCCCCAGAACAAGCTTGACGAACCTACACCCGTGCCTAAAATTACGTGAGAAATTTACCACAAACTTTATCACACAAAAAATATATTTCCTGGGTATATTAATCAATTTTTTGAGTCTCCATGTTTATGTCTATACACTTGCGTGTGATTGGTAGAGATAACTCATACGTTACTTCCTAGCCAAAGAAACTCATCCTTGCGTAGCACTTCCCCTCTCCATTCTGACCCAACCAGGTGTGACGGTCAGCGAGGTCACCTGGTCAAACCAATGGAGATATTTTTGACGTAGTCTGTGTTATAATGATTCTGTTAGATACGTTCTTACATGTGTTCCGGAGAAAATTCAGTTTACCGTTGATGTTGATATTCATTGTTT